GCCAACCCGCCGGCACCGCTTCACCCCGCACAGCGCGCCCGGCTCTCTCTCTCTCCCCCCTCCACCTTCCCCCTCCCTCCCTCCGCCGCCTCCCTCCGCCCCCTCACGCCGCCCAGCGCGCTCCGCTCTCCCTCACACACTCACACCACACGCACACACACGGAGCCATGCCGAAGAGAAAGGTACGTGGAGCTGCCGCCCCTCCTCCTCTTCCCCGGTGTCCTTTTTCCCCCCCTTCCCGCTGTCCTCCCCATCCCCCCCTCACGGTGTCCTTCCCCCCCCCATCCTCACGGAGCCGCCTGTGGGAGGGGGGGGGGGCGGGACTACGCGCTTGAAACAACCCCCCCCGGCTTTCCTCCCCTCCCGTTCGGGGCGGTAACGGCGGCGCGAGGCCTCGGCGGGGCCCGTTCCTGGGGAGGGGGCCCCGCGGAAGGGCGGGAGGGGCCCCGGTGGGTCCCCGCCGGTCCGAACCGGTTGGTTTTGGCGGGAGGTCGGTGTGAGGGGAAGGGGGGGGGAGGGGAGCGCCGGTGTGGGGCGGGAAAGGGCGGGAAGCGGCGGCAAAGCTTTGCCGCCAAAACGGCGGGGGCGGGAGGGGAGGGGGTGAGGCCCTGAGGGGACATTGACCATCCCCACACACACACAGACACGGCCCCGGCAGCGCCCGCCCCGCTCGGGGTGGGTCGGTCGGTGTGGGGCCGTGCTCCGCGATCCCCCGCCCCGGCCCCGCGGGGAGGGGCTGCGGCCGTGGGGATGGTGCCCTGGGGATGCTCCCCCTTGGGGGGGTTTTCGGGGTTAAAATAGCGGCTGGTGCCTGAGCGTGTGTGCTCCCCCCCCCAATCACCTGTCCCTACAACCTGTGTCCCCAGGCTGAAGGAGAGACCAAGGGCGATAAGGCCAAAGTTAAGGATGAGGTAAGAACTTCGGTGTTTTGGGAAAGTTGGATCATCAAGTGTTCCCGTTGGAAGATGGGGTTTAACTTCCATCAGAATATCTGGGGAGTCGGGGGGGGGGAGGGTTGGTCTGAATCGATTCTGACTTTTCAAAGTCTTAAGTGTCTTTTAATCGTGAAAAATCTACTTTTAACCATGAAAATTCTACTTGAATATCATCAGCTATTAGTGATTTCAATGACATAGCCTTGTGTTTCTTGAGAACTGGGGAAAAAAGGAGCTAAAAACATAATTTCTGGCGGTTTTACTTCTTTGAAGTCAGAGCTACTTATGAGTTTTTGAGAGTTCATGTTCTGTGGCATTAAACTCAGTCATTTTCTTCTTTCAACAGCCACAACGGAGATCAGCGAGGTTATCTGCTGTGAGTACCCTCTTGCTGGGCAGAGATGTCACAACACTTGGTATTTTTACAATTGAGCATTAAGTGTATAAATGTGTCAGAGCTGTAGGTACTCTGGAGACGTTGTTAGCTGGGAGTAAGTTACTGGCTGAAGGAACTGCCCCATTGTGTGGTGTTATGGGAGTGGTGAAATAATTGACAAATCAAGTAACTGCTTCGATTTGAAATGTTTTGGCTCGCTTTCCTAAAACTGAGCTGTTTAGGCTGAATGTTTTAAAAATGCAGTTTGTTTCTCTTTAAATAATTTCAGTAAATAACATGAATAAGTTATTTTAAGAAAAGTCCCTGGAGCGGGACTTGTCACAAGGACATGTAGTGACAGGACGAGGGGGAATGGCCTTGAACTGAAGCAGGGCAGGGTTAGATGGGATATTGGGAAGAAACTCTTCCCTGGGAGGGTGGTGAGGCCCTGGCACAGGTTGCCCAGAGAAGCTGTGGATGCCTCATCCCTGGAAGTGTCCAAGGCCAGGTTGGATGGGACTTGGAGCAACCTGGGATATAGTGGAAGGTGTCCCTGCCCATGGCAGGGGGGTGGAACAAAATGATCTTTAAAGTCCCTTCCGACCCAAACCATTCCATGATCCTCTAACACAAGGTTTTCTCTCCCTTGCAGAAACCTGCTCCTCCAAAGCCAGAGCCCAAACCTAAAAAGGCAGCTCCAAAGGTGAGTTGTGTCAGTGCTGTTTCAAGAGCTAAATGGGTTGTGAGGTTTAGCTTTGATTGGTGACAACTAATAAACCCTTGACTAGATTGACCCGTGTTGTCACTTCATAAAGTGGCACTGGAAACTTCCAGATTTGACAAAATTTGTGTTAAAAATACCGAAGTGAAGACTCTTCACAGTGGTTGCCAGTCCCTTAAACACACAGACATTGTTGTCCTGTGTTCTTTGGGGCCAACACCCAGCTGTTGGTAACTGACAGCAAAAATACCACCTTGCCTTTACAGAAGAGCGAGAAAGTGCCCAAGGGGAAGAAAGGAAAAGCTGATGCTGGCAAGGAGGGAAACAACCCTGCAGAAAACGGAGATGCCAAAACAGACCAGGTATCACAGCACCCTGTCTTACATCAGGATTCACTCCTTTCCCTCTCAAACAGGGACAGGTCTTGGCTTGTGCTAACGAAGAGAAACTGTTGCTTATTTACACCCATTGCTTATGACACTTAAAGACACATCCACACACATGGCAGGTGTTGGTAAAGAGTTAAAGTTGTCTGTTTGCCAGGTGCTGTTGCCAGTTACTGTTCTGGCTCTGTAAATTTTGCACCTATAAAGCAACTTAAGTTGTCTTTTACGGTACCTCAAATGCTAGGTTTAATATTATTAAAAATTATTTTATTTAAAATCAGAGCACTGCAGCCCAAAGAACACTTGCTCTGCTCAGGGATTTGTTATTTAGAAAAATGAGTTTCTGTTCATTTTATGTGTTGACTTGCTCCCCTTTTTCTTTCCAGGCACAGAAAGCTGAAGGTGCTGGTGAAGCCAAGTAAAAACGTGTGAATTTTTGATAACTGTGTACTTCTGGTGACTGTACAGTTTGAAATACTATTTTTTATCAAGTTTTATAACAATGCAGAATTTTGGTTTACTTTTTTTTAAGCTATGTTGTTAGCACACAGACCGCTTCGTTGTTGTGTTTTGGGGGAGGGTGGGGCAGGGGGGCAGTGGGGGCAAATGTCATTTAGTCTATTTCTCAAAACCTAAATTTTAATAAGAAAAGTTTTTTCCAGTCCCCCAGTTTTTGGAAGAAGGGCCCTTCCTGAAGGGATGAGGAAGGGATTCCTGATGCTGTGTGTCAGTCGAGTCCAAGTGAACATCAGAGCTCCCAAGATGCCGTTGCCCACTCCAAAACCAAATGCCACCAGTTTTCCTTTGGTGTCTCCCTGTTTACCCAGAGCCTGTCACTCCAAAACACGGCAAAACCGGCATTTTTGGGACGTACCACACTCAATCCACTGTCAGGTGTTCCGCATTTCTGGTGTCTAATTTGGGATATACTGGCTCAAAAACGGAGCTGCGCTTCCTCTTTTCTATTGTGGATCTTCAGATACAGAAGCCTGCCTTTAAATTTTATTCTGCTGTAAAAAGTCAGGGTCGGTGTGTGCAGAGTTGTCAAACAACGCGCTGGTGTGAACGTGTCCACCCTCACTCTAAAGTTTTCCCTCTACAAGTGTGAGCTGAAGATTCCTACGGTTCCATAGCAACTTTTCCGTTTCACTAGTCCACAAAGGGAGGGGAGTTTGACAGTTGTTGTAAAATGTTGCAGATTGTAGCCCATGTCCTGCCTAAATTACCATGATTGTTCATGAAAAGTACCTTTAATAAAGCTGGATACGGTTTGGCTTGGACTGTTCTTAATGCTTTCTAATTTCTCTTGCCTTTATTTCATCTCAGGTCATTTAAGAACTTGCTGTGTGCATGCCTGTGTTTACTTTTTCATTCAGATAATTAGCTCAGTCTTAATGTGCAACTGCAAAGTGGGATTTCCTTACCTTAAAGCAAGGTTTCCTTAACTAAAAACTAGGTTGCTGCAGGATATCTTGAAACTCAGCTGACTGAGAAGGCCCAAAATGAAGCATGTAAGTGAATCTACTGAGATAAATTATCCTCTTTATTGTCAAAAAAAATGGTACTGTATAAAACAGGATTACAGTGATCTTGCAGTTGCTGCAGAGAAAAGCAAATTCTGGTGAGCTTTTCTTGGGAGTGAAACCAGAACAGGCTCCATAAAACCGATGATGTGTTACATTTCTGCACTTAAATTTGAATATTGTTGCTCCTGCTAATCGAATCCAGACCTGGCTGTGGGAGTGACTAAGCAGGAGACGAGATTTGTTGAGTAGAAATGCACCATTTTTATAGTTGCTACTTAGACTCCAGAGCAGAGCCAAGCCCAAACCCCCTGTGTAAACGTCTCCTTCAGTGACTGTCAGATGGAATTTTTTTTCCATCTCTGCTTGGCCTTGCCTGGGATTTCAGTGTCTGTTTGTGATTAAGTTCAGTGACCTGTTTCAACCTGTGCTGATTTCAGAGGGATTCCAGTGAAAACGAGCAGGGCAGAGTTCCACATCCAGAGGTTTTCGGTGTCAGGAGTGCTGGGAAGTGTTCAGGAGCGGCTGCACCTACAGACAACAGTGAGATGTGCTAATATGAACTGCTCCATCTTGTGTTACTGTAGCTGGTATGTCACAATCGCCCTAGCAAATAGAAATAATGATGAATAATCCTGTTTAATAGTCTTTAATAAACCCCACCCAGAAGCAGCAGCTTAGAAACAGCTCCTGACCAGTGGCTCGGGCAGCCAAGCAGTGGGATGTGGCTGCTGGAAGGCTGTGGCTTCCCAGCAGTGGGAACAGGGAGAGGAGGTTAGTGGTTGTCCAGGGTGTTCTCCAAGAGATGCAGCTTGGGAGGAGCCCTGTGTGGGGTTGAGGTGTTGGGAAAAGCAGGAAGCGAGTCCAGGAGTGACCAGAATGGCTCTTGGGGTTCTGTGATGTCTTTCTGGTTCGCTGTGCCTTGCTCCCATTATAGGATGGTGGGAGGTGTGAACTTGGGATTTCCCCATGAATCCCAACTTTCCAAGTACCAGAGGGGACGAGTCTAGAAGCTGTGGAATGGTCTGGGACTTGGGCACAGCCTGGGTGATACCATAAGCACTGTCTGGGTGGTGAAATTGGGATTTCACCCAATAATGTGATTACATTAAAATAATAATTATATTTTTAAATCTGCAAGTTTGAAATAGCCTACCTTGCTTTTGTAGATTTTTACCTTGTTGGGCATCTACAAAGAGAATGAGCACTTCCAAAGGAATTGGGCTCTGAAGGGGTTGCCCAGAGGAATGTTCTTGTGTTTTCCTTTATCCTGGTCTGGAATCTACATGCTGATCCAAACATCCCCACGTAAAAGATGTTATAAAGGAGTTTTAACCCCCTCCATGGGTGATCTGTGCCATGACTTGGTGAGGGCTCTGTCTCTTCTCCACAGAAATCAATGGATATTTTTAGTGCTGAGATTCCAAGCTCTTGCTACATCTGAGGTGCTTCCCAGTGGATGTGCCCTGCGCTGGAATTATTGGCCTGTTGGGCTTGACTCAACTCGCAGGGCTCATCTATTTCTCCTTAAGCAAATAGAGGGTGAGGGATGCTAAAGCCAGTAAATCCAACTAATTAGCTGTGTAAATTAAAGCTGAGGAGCTCTGTGCTGCAGCCTGTGCATGGTTAGTGGTTAGAGGCACCACAAATCTGCATCGCCGCCTGCCAGAATGCCTGAAGCTAAAAAGGAAGTTTTTCTGTTAAATTGTAATCATTTTACATGGAAAATGGCCTCTGTGTATCTGCTGGGAATGGGATTTGTGCTGCCTGGTGCAGTTAACAAGCTGATCTGCCAGGTGGGCTCTGCATCAGCACAGGTTTTTGTCCTTTTTGTGTGAGTTTTTGGAAACTGGAGATCACCAGTTTGATGGGAACACACGTGAAAACCCCGACAATCTTCCTGTTGGAGGGTACCAGTGCTGTGCAGCAATGTGCAATTATTTTCCAACTGAAAAGGTGCAGGGAGTATCCTCTTTTCAATCAAGCTGAGGATCCTCTCTGGTGAGACCCCACCTGCAGAGCTGCATCCAGCCCTGGGCTCCCCAGCACAGGAAGGACATGGAGCTGTTGGAGCAAGTCCAGAGGAGACCACCAAGATGATCAGAGGGATGGAGCACTATGAGGAAATTTGGGAAAATTTGTGGCCTTCCAGTGAAGGGAGCCTTCAAGAAAGATGGAGAGAGATGTTTACAAGGGCCTGGAGTGACAGGGCTTCAAGCTAAAAGAGAGTAGGTTCAGATTATTTGATTATTTAGATTATTTGATTATTTAGATTATTTGATTATTTAGATTATTTGGAAAAAGTGACAGCATCCTCCTCCTGTCCCTGAGCCCTGCCACGGGTGGGGATGAAAAGGAACAAGGAAGGAAAATGGCCTAAATTCAGTGAGTGCATCCAGCAGATACTGAGTTTCAGGATCATTTGTGTCAGAAGAATCACCCAGTTTGATGGCACAGGGATTTCATTGTCCCTAAATCATCCCAGATATGGTAATACCATACCCAGGGACTAATATTGCTGACTATAATTCCTGGGAAATGGCTCCTTATCCTGCAGTTCGTGGAGATGAAATGGAGCTCAAGTTAAATTCACAATTTACAGAGTGAGCCCATCGTTTGTAAGGGATGGGAAGGAGATGGCACAGGGGGAGCTGGTGCTGAGTAGAGTTGATTGAGGCTAATAAAGAGCTTTCGTAAGTTGGCTTTAGAAGATTTCTGATGTGAAAGGCTGGGTTGTTTTTAAAACCTTTTATTGAAAACTGTTTTGTCAATCTTTCGGGGTTTTAACTGTCTCCTTGCAAAGGGAGCCAGAAAATCTATGGTGTGGCAGAAATGACAGCAACAGAAAGCAGCAGGGAAAATCTACTAAATGTGAGATCTTTTAAAGTGCATTAAAGCCTCCAAACAAGAACATTTTGTGGCCTTAAATACAACAAACCAGCCTGGAGAAAGTACTTGGAAAATGTAGAAGGAACGTTCCCACAGTGGCTGAGATGACCCGGGTGTGGAGCAGCTCATCCCTCCACCTTCCAAAGCACCTGCAGGTACTACAGGGCTTGGCATCTTGCTACTGGACATATAAACCCCAAACTTTCTAGTTTTCCCCTTCTAAACAGGTTTGATAGTGGATTTAATTTATTCTTGCTCAGTTATCCCACTGAGTTTACTTTTGGATTTTTAACAAATTCCCTTCCAGGCAGCAGCTCTGCCCTGCTCTCAAGCTTGTTGGTTGCCACTGCTGTGCAGAGGTGAGTGTACATGGAGCTAGAGAGGAGTTACTATTAAATTTCTATTAATCTGATCACTCCAGATTACTATTTTGGCATTGCCCAGACAGATTTTGTTTGCCTTTAGTCTAATGAAGTGGCATCTTGGTGCCTCTTGATGAAATTCAGTGTTACCTCAGCACAAGAGCTGAACATACCTGTATTGGGGGTTCTGAGTTTAGCCCGAGGACTGATTGTAAACTTAGGCAACTACATTAGTTTTTCTCATAATTTCCTTCTTACTGGAGGTAATACCAGAGGTTGTTCCTGTGTTGTGGGTGTTTGGTGAATGGGTTTTGTTGGCCTGCAGCCTGGTGGGAGATGCCCAGGTTTCCCTGCCATGCCAGGATCCAATTAGCTTCCGTGTTGCCAAGCCCTGCAGAGGAGAATTCCATTGATACTGAATCGATTTCTCCTGCAAAAAGGAATTACAGAAGTAAGCTGGATCTGAGGCACGTTGGCAGGGGAAGGCTGGATTTGGCAGCCCCTTGCCACAGCCCAGTGGACTCGGGGATCTGTGCGGTGCCGTTTAGCTCATTAACACGCTTTGATTAACAGCCTGTTCCTTCCCTTCGCCACACGGTGGTACCAGGAAACACAGAATCGGGGCCTGGAGATCAACAAATGGCAGGGAGCATCCAAAACCAGCTTAGAAAACTTGGGGAGACTGGAGCCTGGTTTGTCACGGTCTAATCTGAGTTATTTTCTTTTAGAAAGCAGAAGTGCTGCTCCAGCATCCTCCATGCTCTGCCACCATCAGAGGCTCAGACTTTGTCAAACAATACTCACCGGAGCAGTCTGAGGCCCCTCTGAGCCTCTCTTTCTAGATTTTGGTATGTTTTTGCTCAAAATCCAGACAGAGTTCTCAATTCCTCATCAGTTTACAGGCATAGCTGACATTTCACAGGAATCTATCCATGGTATATCAAGCCTTTGAACTTAGGCTTCCCAAATTCTATTTTAAGAATCACTGGACCATTGCTTTTCCTCCTCAGGCCATTATTGCAGCTGCTGTGGCTCATGTCCTCAAAGTCTGAGCCTAAACTAGAGCTGCTGCTATCCATCTCATCTGTCCTCAGCTGGGGAAGGGATACTTTATCCTAAACCCAGATTTAAATAGGCATCATATAAGCCTGGTCACTGTAAGGCTTGTTGGCACAAACTACTTATATCAGACTTTCTGAATCTCCAACCTGAGATCACAAAATAAATAATAATGTCCAAAAAAATAATACTTTCTTCGTTGGAAAGCTCCCTGTGCTTTTTGTCATGTTTCCTTTTGCTTTTGTGTGCCAGTATTTGGGTGCATGTGCTTTTTCTCTACAAGCAAAACCTAGGGAGTTGAATTGTAATATCTGTGCTAATTCACAATCTCTTCAAAAGTCTCACCAGGGCGATTTTTCTGATGCTGTAAAACTGTGGGCCCACTTTGCCAACCAGCAACTTTTACCAGCATTGCATTTAAGAGTCACAGAATGTCGTCCTGTGATGTGTCTTAGGC